CCCCAGCCCCCCACGGCCCCCACGGCCCCCCCGGCCCGCACAGACCTCATCCTGCAGATGAAGGAGCGCCGCGAGCCCATGCACATCCTCATGGACGACTGCTGCCCCTCCTTCTTCACCGTCCCCGTCTTCAGGTCCAGGATCCGGCCTAAGCGAGACAGGGACGCGGGCGTAAGCCTCCGCCCCGGCGAGGGCGCAGCGGGGGGCTGCCTCCCGCCGCTCTGCGAACGGGGCGCACGGGCCGCACAGACCGCCCTGGGACCCCCAGCGTTCTGTGCCGGGATCGCGCGGAGCCACGAGCCCTCCGATTCGGAGCGCGTGTCCTCCGAGGGCCGTCTACACCTGCTGCCGGTGCCACCACCGGGTCATTCCAACGTGCCTTCTCCCCGCCACTTCAGACACGTTTGCCAGGGTCCCTGCTGCCCCGGCAGCCGCTGCCCGTGGCCTCCGGTCCTCTCCTTCCGGCCCTCGCCCCCGGGACCCCAGCGGGGCCGGCGTCTCTCCCGCCACCCTGCACCCCTGCCAGCTTCACCCACGGCCCAGATGACCGCCTCTGCACCCCGCCTCCAGCACCAGCCCCTCCGACCCCCGCCCCAGCCCGAGGCCACCACCCCCTCCCTCCTCCCCAACGCCAGCAAACGCACCACCAGAGGGAAAATCCCGGTCAGAACTGCAGAAGCCATGTGGGAGCCTTTCCCCACCTCCCCCTGCACCCCCATCTGTCTCTCCATCTCCTCCCCCCGCACCCCCACCCGCCTTCCCTCAACTGAGACTCGCTGGCTCCCAGCTTCCAGCATCCTGTCTGTCGGGGCACCCGTCCCACGGCCCCAGCTGTGTAGACCGCACACACCTGACTGCCAGCCGGACTCCAAACTGCCCCGCCCCCCGCAGGCCCCGTCTGGGTCACCGGCGCCACCCCGACCCGGCCGCTCAAGCCGCATGGCCAGGGCGGGGGGCACGGACCTTGCTTTCGACCCCGCCTCCTCCGGGTGCGCTACCCCACGCGTCCGCGGCCCGGCGTCTTCCCCTGTAAAAGGAGGCGCGGAGGAGCCTGGCCCTCCAACAGCTGGGGTGACCCCACGGGCCAACGGCTGAGTGTGGCTCGGCGTTAAATACAGAATAGGGAACGCGCTGGCGTTCCCAGCCGCCTGCCTGGCGCTCGCCCCTGGCCTGTGCCCTTCCAGCGCGTGTGTCCCGACGCCCTGAGCTCCCTGCTCCCCGGCCGGCCTGGCCGCACCCCGCACCAGCCTCCACTGCAAACACAGAACGGCCTGGCCCTATACTCGCGGAGCCGGCCCTCAGCTTTGCTGCCCTGTGCTCGCTCTGTCTGCTCGTCCGTTTCCGCGGAAGGGAGGCCTGAGACCTCGCGCTCAGGAGGATGGTGATCACGTGTGGCCCGCACCCGCGAGGCACACGCTAGGCGTGAGGTTCCTGGCAGACTCCACGTCCCACCCCCGGGAAACCTTTCATGCTCCCCGCTACTGACCCCCGGTAAAGTCCGAGTCCTGCAGCCCTCTGTGAAGCGGCCCCCGCATCTGGCCTCTGCTGGCCTCTCGGGCTGCACCTGCCGGACCCCTGTGTGCCCTCCCCCCATCGCCCCAATCCCGCCCCGGCTCAGAGCAACTCACCGTCCCCGTCTGTCCCCACGCGCTGCTCCGGGTCCTGAGGCTCTGGCCTCCCCCCAGCCCCTCGTTCCCTCTGCCCAATGATCTCCCATTTGTAACAACTTACCCTGGGGGGCACCTTGCCATCATTTAATACATATTTACTAATTGCCTCCAACATGCTAGGCACCAACATAAGCACAGAGTCAGACAGACAGAAGCCATTATAATCTAGAAAGTAAACACAGCAAAATCAAAGAGAATAGAACGGAGGGAAGGGACGATTGTCAGATGGGGATAAATGCTACAAACAAAAAGGAAGCAGAGTTAAGTGTAAAAGCGTGACCAGAGCCCCGCCCCTTTGCAATAAATAGCTGAATGGGTTTCTATCTCTTAGAATCAAAGGGACCTTGAAGAAGACCCCTTGGAGCGGGCTCACTGCTCCGGACAGAGAGCGTGTATAGCACAGGGTGGTCACCTCCCGTCCCCCCAGCACCTGGGGGCCCTGTCTCCCCGGACCAGAGCCAGCTGGTACTTGGGGCCGGACCAGGTGCCCCCCCACCGTCCCCAGCACCCCGAGGCGGCAGGGACACTCCAGCCTCTGCTTCCCAGGGGACCAGCTCTGCAGGGTGAAGGGCCCCGTGCGGACACCAGCAATCCGGTCGAGCTCACACAGCCCTGCACCTGCGGGCAGGACGTGTCCTCCAGAATTCGGCCCCATCGAGAGGCCCGCCCCCCAGGCTGCTAGGAGCCCCTGGAGTCTGGGGGGGGGGCCGGGTTTGACACCTGTCTGTCTCACTCACAGACTGTTTCTTTTTGGGACTGTTTTCGGTGTAAATTGTCACTTGCTTTATCATCAACCAAATGGCAACGGTTTCAGCCGTGAGCCAGGCCAGCACGAGTGTCTGTCAAATTCCAGAGCGCGCTCTGAAAATAAATCACAGCTGCGGAACACATGAGCCGTGCAGTGTGAGGAAATGAAAAAACACATTTCCATGATCTGCTGTCATGACCCCAGGAGACAACTGCTCCCACGTTTATTTCTCTGTGCTTCTCTCCAGTTTCCTCGGCACAGTGAGCCCCCTTCCGGGCCCCGCGGGAGGAAAGCGAGCTTCACTTTATACAGTGGGTGTTCCTGCAAGGCTGTCTGTAAAACGGGATTTTTGACAAATTTGGAGGCAGCAGAGACGTATGGAGGCAAATGGCTCCTCAGAGCACAAACCAGGTGGAGGCAGAACCCTTCCAGAGGCCAACCGGCTCCTGGGGCCGGAGGACCCACCCCACAAAGCTGTTGCTGGGTAGGCCCACCACGGACCACGGCCTGCCCCGTGGCCGCCTCTCATCTCGGCACCCCTCACCCATGCCCTGTGTCCCGCTCCCCTCCCAGCCTCTCCTCCACAGTGCCCTCCCGAATGCCCACTCTGTAACAGGCAAACCCCTACATCGTCAGGGCCGTACGGAAGTGATGACCCCCGTGGGGTGAGTCCATCCTCAGGGCAAGCAGGGCCCACGTGACTCTGCGGCCAGGTTGCGAAGAGGCCCCAGCAACCTCCCACCACCGGCAGCTGCGGGAGCACATGCTTTTCTAGATTCGGGGCACAAAGGAGAACAATTCTGGAGTTGACAGCATAGCCCGTTCCAGAAGGAGGCAGCAGGGACCGCAGGTGGGGCTGTGGGGCACGCGCAGGGGGAGGCGGGATCAGACGCACCCGCTCTGAAGGTTACGTGAAGATCTGAAGACTTACACGTGGGAGGTCAGTCAATCCCCTTTAAGAACGAGAGCGTCAGTGCCTGGCAGCCCCATGTGGCCTCCCTGGGAGCCCCAAGGTGACAGTGTCGGGGGCGGGGAGCCTCTCCCGGTCAGCCCAACCCCTGCCTCCTGGCTTTCTCTGAGGAAGAGGGCATTCTGGGAGGTTCTAGAATACAGCTCAGACCACTAACTCAGGCTAAAAGGTTGAAGGACGACTTGTTTTCCTCTTAAAATGCTTTTACTCTAAATCTAAAGTGGCCTCTTGGAAAAATCAAATACACACATACCACAGCAAAAACCCCAATCTTCCTGGAAAACATGATTAATGTTTGGGCCTATTTCCATGAAACTTTTTGTGTGCATGTCTGCTCTTCCTTTTAATTACTTGAGGCTCCATGGCCTTTACTTTTCCACCTCTGTCACAACATAAACTCCTAAAAACGTAAGCAGAAATGTTATTTGAAAGGCCCTACAGCATCATTTTGAGTAGACGGTTTCCGATCGGACACGATGGGATTCCCAGGTTTCCCACGTGCCAATAATGCTGTTGCCAGTGACTGGGAAGAAACAGTTACCCACTCCACGTCAGGACAGGTTCCCGAGAATGGTGTTCCCGCCCGCAATGACAATGGGCTGTCCAAACAACACCCGGTCTAGTCTAGGCTCTGAGCACACCGCGGACCGTGAAACGGACAGAAATTACAGCACATCTCGGGCTTTTTAATGATGATTTTTCAAAGTCTAAACCATAAAGACTTTAGAACAGGACTTGGCAACGGTGATACTTGACCCCAAAGGGGCTCACTATCTGTTATTTAAATATTTACTGGATCTGGGGCGCCTGGGTGGCTCAGTCGGTTAAGCATCTGACGTCGGCTCACGGTTCATGGATTCGAGCCCCACGTCTGGCTCTGTGTTGGCAGCTCGGAGCCTGGAGCTGCTTCAGATTCTGTGTCTCCCTCCACCACCCCCCCCCGCCCCCCGCCCCACTCATGCTCTGTCTCTGTCTCTCAACAATGAGTAAACGTTAAAATAAATAAATAAATAAATAAATACGTACTGGACCATGGCCACAGCCATCCATGGCTGCTCTCACGCTACAGTGCCAGACCAGAGTGCTTGTGAAAGACACCGCTAGACTCACACCAACTACCTGATCCTCGACAAAAACCATTTGCCAGCTCCTACTTTGGAAGAATGATCACGGACTCCAATGACAGAGCACCGCTCTCCCCAGGCAAAGGGTCCTTCTGTAATGGTTTCTTTCCAGTGAGCTAAGTTTTAAGTATTATTTAGATCAGCAGTAGCGTTGTAAAAATAACAACAAACAGCAGAATCAGAAGTTTGTCTTGGACAGGATCACAAAAGAAGGTTCTGTGCTCATAAAGCGGCTCCCCAGGCTCCCACAGAAATACAAATAGAAATTGGACTAACTGCATCAAAAGAATCCTTAAGAAAACTGGAAACATCTTATCTTGGTTTAAAGAGAAGAAAAACCAAGATAGCAAAGGAGGAAAACAAGGGGAAATTGTTGGGAACAAAGGCAAAGCGATGGCCCCAGACGGACACTATTTGATGTTGTTCCAAGGACGTGTGGCCTCCGGGAAGGGGGACCGGAGGCCGGACGGGACTTTGCTGTGCCAGTGGCAGCGTGTCCTTCCTTGTTCGCAACGGCTGTGCCGGCCACGTCAGCAGCCGCGCGCACAAGCCCCCCCCCCCCCGGGAGTCCCAGCAGCGCCCGCGGCGTCTGCTCGGGAACGAACCCCAGGGCGCCAGCCGTGTGGACGGAGCCTC